TTGCTAGTTAGTTTTCGGTCTGGAACCCATCTAGATATTATCTATATAGAACATTCATGTGGGGGTTGGGGCTTGTACCAAGTTGATAACGTTTGAAATGTGACAAAGATGGAGGTCAGTGAGTTTTCCTGACCATGGTTGTACATGGTTTTAAAATATCTTGCTTTTTAATATTTATTTTTATTGAAATGCAATGTCAAGGACTGGCAGGGTTGCCAGCGTCAAGGAATTTTTTTTTCACGGTCAGGGAAATTGCAAATTTCATCAAAGTCAGGGGGGGGGGGGGTGAGTAATTTTGTGTCGAGTATCATCTATGAGGCTATGGCCATCTTTGAAGTTTTACTATATATTATAAGGAAATCAGAAGGCTGAAAGGGATTTGCAAATTATGTACTTTGATTATGGAAATAGTAAACTGGAAGGAAAAGACGGTATGGGAGGAAGGAGGCCGTTAATTTTTGTTTCTTTTATCGTTAATTTTTGTTCATTTGTCGGGGAAAGGTCAGTGAAAAATGTAATTTTGTCGGGGGAAAAGTCGGGGAAGTTTATTTAACAAAAATGCTGGCAACCCTGACTGGTGATGTTTGGATCTTGTACATAATGCGGATGAAATAGCCCATCACCATTTCTAGTATGAACATTCCTGTTGTAAGCATGCAAGGTTTTAACACATTAGATTTTATGATTGTAGTTTATTTATTTTACTTCTTTAAAATAAGTTGCTATTTAGTTTTCCGTCAGGGGCTCGTGTACAGTTAGTTGATCATAGCATTGCGATGCATTGTAGCTATTTTTCAGAACGCGTCGTAACTAAAACGAACTCGTTGATTCAGATAAAAATATGTATTTTTCAAAGCTTCTTCGTATTAAAAATAGAGCATATTTATTCATATTATCAATCAAATGTAATGGTATTCTTCTGTATTTATTAAATTGTTAAAGATATTTATTATTTTCCTTTCCAAGGGTGAACTTACGAATATGTGGTGTATTTCAGCCTTGCAAAACAGATCTGCCGGTTTCAATGGATGCAGAACAGTAAGGTCTCATAAGATTAAATTGGTGTATCTAAATACATCCATCGGGCTTTCTAATTAATTTATTGTGCCAAAAAATAATCGCGATTATTTAATTATGTAATTTAAGATAATAAAGAAAATAACTAATATCTGGCATATACGGTTGATTTTCGTTCTGCTTGGTTCGTAGGTCCATTTTGCAATCTTAATGTGACAAGGGAAGCAATTCCTATTTAATTATACTGACCGCTGACGTTTGCAATCTGACTAAAGCTATCTTTAATCTCGCCGAGCTCGTAAAAGGATCTGAAGGTGTTGCATACAAGTGCATGTTCGGGACGTTAGGCACTTTCATCACTGAATAAATCAATGCATAACATAGTCAGTTATCAAAATATTAATAAAGAACTGTCGAATCTTCGATTATGTATGTATTAGTTTCGAAAAATCTGTTTTGAGAGAAATCGACAATAGGGGTAGTCAGTGTTAACAGTCGCTCCTCCAGGCTTACAAAAATTATAATTTGTGTATGTATTTGATCGAATCCTTGATGGATTAGTTTTACGAGCTCGGCGAGATTAAAGGAGATGGCTTTAGTTAGATTGCTGATGTTTGCAACGTGAAACTGCAATAATTGAAGATTAATGAAAGATAGTCTTTAGTTCTTATGTTTATTTATTTATATTAGTGCTGTCAAAATTATCGCGTTAACGGCGGTAATTAATTTTTTGAATTAATTGCGTTAAAATATTTAACGCATTTAACGCATGTGCAGAATGGCCCGCCCCATACGTGCCACCAGTGGCAGCGCCAGGGTATGACTGGGGTAGGCTACAGCCATACCAAGAAATGGCTTAGCCCCACCATGAAAAATGATGTTAAAGTAAGCAAAATAAAGTCTGCCAACTCACGCGGAGTAAATTGCACAGACAGCAGTTAGTAAGATTGATTTCAGTAGCCACGGTTTTGAAAACTTTTGTCACGTAGTGATCGTCTTCTCAATAGAACATCTTTGATAACGGCGTGGTGTTGTTGGAGGAAGTCCCGACGGAGAAAACTTTTGCTGTAGTACAGGGGTGCACATAACTGGTACGCAGGTTATGTGCGTAATCTGAAATGCGTACCGTCACTTGTGTCACAAAGCGCATTTGCGTACCGACGTACTTGTGAAGCTTTTCCAGAAGGCGGTTAGATCACCGGACGACAGAGTCGGTCTCCGTGTGCACAGACAGGACTGCTGTTAACGTCGGTCTGTACAACGGAATTGTGCCAAAACTACGCCAACCTGGCTACGGAGGGAGACTCCCCCCCCCTTCACATGGAGAACTGCGCTAAAACAGCTGATCACAACGTTCACACTCTGTGGTCAAGAAGTACTCCACTAGCCGCCGCCGCCCCCCCCCCCCTCTGTCGACTTTCCTGAAGTACTCCCCCGTTGATAGAAATCAACACGTAATGAATTAAAACCCCACGGTTTGATGATTGATAGGTGTGTGGGTTGTCTTTCATTTTGACACGCAGAATTTTTTTTATAATAAACATAGATACTGTATGTGAAATGGATATATCCGCCTTCTTTCATTTATCTTTCCATTCCCACAACAATATACATAAATAAATGGCATATTTTGGACATAGTTCGAATGGTGATTAATCATGATTAATTAATTTTTAAGCTGTGAATAATCTGATTAAAAATTGTAATCGTTTGACAGCCCTAATTTATATATTATTATTATTATTTGTTTCAAAACTTATCTGCATGTCCCTTGTCAAAACTGAATGACCGACTTAGGCGATTCGTTGCAGTTTGCTACAGATCGTCGTGTTGCAAGCGCTACGCTAAACCCATTATACGCACGGCAATCCATTTCGGGGGGGGGGGGTCCAGTTAATATGTGTTGGCGCCGCTTGCTTCGATCAGTGGACATAGCCCCTAAATAGCTTCATGACAACAAATAGTATTTGACATATCTTGAGTTTTTTTTTTAGCTAGGTGTTGCTATTGTAAATTCATTAGAGACAGTTATTCCATTTCTACCGAGTTTGTTGCAGAAACCTATCCAATAAGGGAGATCCGAGCTCTCTAGGTTTCCAGTTACGTTTAGCGCTATATTGTGACGTCAATCACAGAAATGTTAGGCAACGTCACATTGTCGGTAAAAACGTAAAAAAGCTGATCGCGGAAAGCTGATGTAGTTGTTTCAATAATCCACAGAGCTTTTTACTGACGTGTCAGATCGCCGACAATGTGACGTTGCCTAACATTTCTGAGATTGACGTCACAATATAGCGCTAAACGTAACTGGAAACCTAGAGAGCTCGGATCTCCCGTATTACCGATACCTAGATTACACTCAGTATAGTTACGACTAGTTTTTTATGTGTGTTTTTTTTTATAGTTGTAACACTTTGTCTATGAAGTAAGATTGCACCAGTTTGCTTGATCGTGTTTGTCTTACTTTTAATTGGTGGTATGACTGTAGTGATCATTGTGATAATAGACGTAATGCCAAATGATATATTCAAGAAAAACTGGGAACTCTGTGTTGTTATATAATAAATACGTTAATTTGTTGAATTCTTTTACTTTCTTTTTTCTCAAATAACCATTGTCCTTTTTGGTGGAGAAATGATCTTTCATCCGAATATTAAAATTGAACAATCAGTGTATGAACTTATTAAATACCTTTGATGTTATTCCACAATAAAAACACATTCGGAAAGACCTGCCCTGTCAGACTACACATCTGCGGATGAGCTAAAAATATATACGCACGTAAGATAGCTTTGTAATATGGCCCGTATCCAACTAGTTCTCTTCATCAAAGTATTGACAATTCTACTTGGTACACATAACCGGTATTTGACAACTGCGGATTGGTATTTCAAAGAATTCATATCAAAGTGAAGAACTAACGAGCAATTTATTTGATATTAAGAATAATTAGAAACCACGTACCCTTTTAGGAAACGTGCACTCTTTAACATTGCGTATACTAGTAGCTCTTACATGAAAGATGGACCAGCTTTAACGGGTTCAACCATGAAAATCATTGCAGCATGGTCGATACGGCTTTGATTCTCCGAATATTACTTCACTGGCATTAACTTTTGTTTTTTAATAACACAAAAATAATTTGCTAGCGGTAGACAAGCTTCATGGAAGAGCTAATACTTGTTATGTTTAAAAGGTCGCGCTGAAGATCAACCGGTGTTAACACGCCTCACCCGTTAACTTATAAATTGCCACTAATTTGGTTATTTTTATATATAGTATTCTAAGCAAAAACGACAATAACAGATTGATCACAGGCAAAATTCAAAACCTAACTACTGTTAATGTAATGTGATATTAATTTAATTGCCTGGTAAAAATAGATTGTATTGTGGCAAGGGGCCAGCACTTGGATTTACGAAATGACAAGATAAGGTATCAAAGGTGTTCCAGTTGAAGGATAAAGATAAGGCAAATGTGGCAGTGAATATAAGATATAGTGGGCCTATCATGGAAAAGCTAAGACATTGAGCTGTCTGAGTGGAAAAGTACAGTACTGTGTTAAAGTCCAACTGCTGAGAAGCCTCAGTGGAAATATACTATGTGAATACTGTGTGCAACAAAAACGCGGGGTCAACCAGATTAAGAACAGAGGCATCCTGTTATGTCCAAACTGATAAGCCACAAGGTTGCAGAACTCATTATTCTCACACTAAATCACCCACCAAGCAGGCGCAACAGTTCACAAGGGCAGTCTTGTGAGTGAAACCAGATAAGGAAGTGAGTGAAAGCAAATAAGGAAGTAACAAAAGCGCGCCGAAGGCTAACCTAAGAGTTGCTAGGGTAGCAACGGCAGATTACACCACAAGAAAGCAGCGAAGGTGGGGGCTCCGCTAGGAACAGTATATAAGCAGGATGTATTCAGTACTCGAGGCTCTCTCTTCAACTGGGATCTTACACTGACGAGCTTGTCACGGTGAGAACTCAAGAAGAAGGAGTCCAAGGCGCTTTGTGGTATAGTATCAGATTGATGTATCTTTGTTGAACTGTGTAATAAAGTGCTTATTTGAAGAAACAATCTATTGGAGTGCAAAGTCTAGTTTTGTACAGCTAACAGAGAATAGTGTCTAGGACACAATTCCTTTTCCCTCAGAACTAAGAAACGGTCATCGGCAGATCCGGACAGCGAACCCCGCTCTAGCCATATCCAAACGATCTGCGCGGAGGACGGACCTGGTCCGGTAGACTCCAACAGCTTGGTGACCCTGACGTGATGGTCTAGAGCAGGTAGTCTGGACACCGATGACCTTCTGAGAGGACACCAAAAAACATTGAGTTTACGGCTTTTACAAGAAACCATCTCACACAATCAAAAACCCGGGTAACTCAGAATCAAGGTAAGCATCTGCCTGTTACAACAAATAGATGTGTTTGAAATACCACTACATTTTAGGATTGTGTGAAAATGGCAGAAATAATTGTCTCAGCTAAAAAGTAAAGATAAAACGTAAATAAAATTGTGTGCACTAAATAGATCAACAAGGGCATAAACAAATCTGTGGTGAGAAGCGGGTGAAACCCGTAATTTATGAGGATCCGCCGCGGTCCAAAGGGAAGGTGTAAACCTGGTCGCCGTACCAGTAGCCATAGTACAGTGTAAAACTAGGCAAGGCCCTAGTATCTAAGGAAGGTGTAAAACTGGTCGCCGTACCAGTAGCCATAGCACAGTGTAAAACTAGGCGAGGCCCTAGTATCTAAGAAAAGGTAGAAGACTAGCAAAAGACGCTAGCAACCAGATAATCTGATAAAGAAAGATAAGGAAAAGTAGAAAATGGAAGGCGAATTTGCGAGAGAAGAAGCACTAGGCTTCAAAATCCCAGATGTACGTCGCGAGGTTTGGAAAGAATGGGTGGAAGAAGGACAAAAGGAAGTTGAGAAAAAGGATCACAAAAAATGGGAAAAAGGGGTAGCAAAATTGTACCGAAAATTTACAGATAATGGCATACTGACAGCACACAGACAAAGAACTAAGGATAAAAAAGGAGAGTTGTTAGGAGGGAAAGATACAAAAGGAATGTTCAAAAAAGCCACCAAAGGGCTAGAAGAAGAGCTCTGTCGTCACAAGAGCATAGACCCAGGGCGATGGTCACTCAAAAAGAAAGCACACCAAGACCAACAAGAAAAACTAGAACAATTAATTAGGACCTCATATGCCATGGTCTCAGCCGCTGGCCGCCTGGAAGAAACAAATAAAACCACCCCGGCCACACAAGCCCCCCTAGTAGCCGCGCCAGTAGCAGCACCGGCAGTAAAAAACCCCGCAGTAGCAGAACCCCCATGCATCAGACATGCAGCTGGAGTGGCTAGAGTACTAAGGAAAATCCAACACATAGTGATGAGACACCCACTCACAGTGCTCACAAGCCATAGCATTGTAGCCCTAGTCAACTCAGCGGCCTTCACCATGACATCAGCAAGACAGACCAGGTTAGAAAAGTCTCTGACACAGCCACACATAACCTACACACATGAAGGCACCAACATGGCAGACTACTTACCAGGAGAAGGAGTCCCACACAGGTGTGAGGAAAAAGTAGTACAGGATGTAAAAATACGCCCAGACATGCAGGAAACGCCAGTAACAGGGGCAAGAGACATGTTCACTGACGGATGTTGTTACAGACACCCACAGGACGGCCTAAAAGGGGCCTACGCTGTGGTAGGACGAAGTAATGAGACAGGACTTTTTGAAAACATTGACTGCTCCACCATCAAAGGAAAAGTGTCAGCTCAACTAGCTGAACTAAAGGGCGTAATCGCCGCTTTGAACCAAGGAATAGATCAAGACATCAATGTGTACACAGACTCAGCATACGTACACGGGGTAGTGCACCACGACCTAAAAAGATGGCTCAGGGCAGGATTCGTAACTAGTACAGGAACACCAGTGAAACACTATCACAAAATCAAGGCGTTAGAGGAGGCTATCATGAAACCCAACAGAGTAGCTGTAATCAAATGCAAAGGACACTCCAAAACCACAGGGTACCTAACCGATGGAAACACTGCCGTCGATCTGGCCGCCAAGCAGGCAGCCAGATACAAAGCCACATTCTCACAAATGGTTGTACGGGCTCCCCAAGAAGGAATACTAGAAGCCAGAACAGATGAGGAGTTGGCTAAAGAACAATCTAAAGCTTCCCCGCAAGAACTAACGGCCTGGAGAAACAAAGGGGCAAGAAAGGGAGCAAATTACATTTGGTACTCCCCAGACGGGAGGCCAGTGATCCCACCAGGGTGGGTAAGAGCTATGATGAAGGAAGCACACTCAATGGCACACGTAGGAAATAACCAAATGGTTAGGGCCCTGACCCATTGGTGGCACCCTTACCTACCAGATTTAATAGCTAATCATCTTGAAGAATGCAGTATTTGTGGACGCTACAATGTGAGGGCCACCATCAAACCACATGAGGGAAAGTTTCCTGCAGTAACAATGGCAGGGGAGGAGATAGTCATAGACTATACAGACATGATAGACAGACACAGGGGAAAGAGGTACATACTCATGGTTGTGGATGCCTACACAGGGTGGCCAGAAGCCATCCCCTGTGCAAAAGAAGACAGCCAGTCTGTAATCAACTTCCTGGTACAAACCTACATTCCAAGACACGGGTTCCCCAAAAAGATTCGCAGTGACAATGGAAGCCACTTCAAAAATCACGATTTAGCGGTGGTGGAAGCCTCTCTTGGGCTAACCCACAGATTTGGAGCAGTGTATCATCCACAATCACAGGGAAAGGTTGAGAGAATGAACTTAAATCTAAAACAGAAACTAGCAAAGGCGATGGAAGAAACAGGAATGACATGGTTGGAGGCACTACCTCTCGCCCTATTGGCTATCAGGAGTTCCATTTGCAGGACCACTGGGTTCACTCCATATGAAATGACTCATGGGCACCAGTTTCCAGGCCCAGGGGCGGGAGCCACGGTTTCAAAGGAACTGTATGACAAAGTGGGGCACCAGGCCTACTATAAACAACTAAAATGCCTCGTTGCAGAGTTCGCGGACGAATCCACAGCAGCCAGAGCCAAAGGACACACAGAGGAAGCTGAGGGCAGCAGGGACGCTGAATACGTCCGCCTGAAGACGATCAAACCCAAGTGGTGTGCTCCAAGGTTCTCTGAACCACTCAAGGTAACCCAGCGAACAGATCATGCAGTCAGAGTAGACGGAAAAGGAGACACGTGGTACCACTGGAGCAGGTGTGTGGAAGCACCAGCACCTACCAGGACCCTCGCTGACACCATCCAGGACCTAGGCCAACTGAACATCAGGCAAACAACCGAAGCCCCCCAACCCCCAAGTGTGGACATCGACTCCACTTCCGAGGAGGAGGAGACAACAGGGGAACCAACGGCAGCCCAGGAGATAACAGCCGGCGAGGAGGCACAACAAGGGACCGCTCCCCCAAAGTAGGCGGTACACCACACGCATCACATACACACACCACATAAGAGACACTCACCTACACTGATACACCAAAGAACTTTTACAAGAAAAACAAAGATGAAGAAGAACTCAGGACCTAATCAACACCTCTATTGCTTGGCCTTAACACTGTGTTTTTTCATTATTGTTGGAATAATCATTATCATAGTGGGTGAAAGGGGGAGGCAAATCATTGACCAAAGTAATAATCCAAATTCCCCACAAAATAAAACTACACAAGATACCTTTTCTCCTCCAAAAAACAGCCTAACTAGACACGTCCGCAATGTGGCCGGCACAGTAGATACGGCAAATTTCACCCAATGTAACCAGAAAGATGCATTGAGACACATATCGCTGACAATTTACCTACCCTCGGACTCAAGCACCACTACCCTCATCCCGTACACCAGTTTGTCAAACGAACTCAACCAAAAAGGAGGGTCGTGGGGAAACAAATACCAATGGTACATGACGCTAGACTTTTGGTTCGGAAAAGGCGATCCCAATGAAAGATATAGCTATGGTCGAGCGTGGACCGACTTGGTGGGAGAGACAGGGGCGGATTGGAGTTCATCGTCAACAGGAACAGCGAAAAAAGTAAGGCAAAGAGTACACCTGGCAAAATCCTCATCTGGCCTCGTAGTACAGTTAGACTTAACTGGGGTACCCCAACCCAAGAAAGATGAACCCCCTTGCGCATCCTTTTATCTATGGCCCAAGACATCGCCAAGCCCCCAATTCTCTATATACGTATGCATGTCCAGTCGCATTAAAAGACCACAATCTGACATAGTATCCGTCCAAAAGGGGGTGGTGATCCACTCCACTAAGGAGTGGACAACTGATCAAGAGTTCCAAGCAGCAACTGGAATCTCGGGACACACAGCAAACAGCAACAACTGGTTACTGATGGCACAACAAGCCGCGCTAGACACAGGCGATGACTGCCTCGTTTGTATGGGAGCCAGACCCCTGCTCCACATAATTCCTGCCCCGGTAGAACCAAGGTGTGCCACTGAAATAATGGGGACAGACAACCCTCAACACAATTGCTCTAAATACGAAGTTTACTTCCCTTTAGCCAACTCGGAATTAAAAAAGCCCTTATTCTTTGCAAAAGTTCCGAGGTTGAATTATACCTGTTTCCACACCACAATCAGAAACACCGGGGGGTTCAACAAAACTCTCTGCGACCACATAGTGACACCAACTACACCTGGACGTGGTGTAATCCGAGCAGACATATGGTTCCACTGCGGTGGCAACCAACTCCACGAATGGATGTCAGTGTTCGGTAAATACAAAACCCTGGTCACCTCAGTATTGGTATCAATGGCCGTGTTTGCAGCAATTTTGACCTTGTGCGGGTGCTGCTGCATCCCTGGTATCCGCTCAATGGTGGACAAAATAATTAGTACCGCCATAGCACCTTCTACTCCCCTGGGCCAACAATTCGCCTTGCTATCCTTAGAAAACAACCCAGACATTGAAGAAGGCGAAGAAGAAGCGGCAGCAATGGACACTTTCCCGACAGCACCACCAGTACCACCGTATGGCAGAATGTGGGAAAGAGAGACAGAAGCCTAAAACAGCTGACATAAATGTACATAAACAATAGCGTTGTTTTGTTGCCCCAATCATTAGAATGGGGCAAAAGGGGCATTGAAGGATAAAGATAAGGCAAATGTGGCAGTGAATATAAGATATAGTGGGCCTATCATGGAAAAGCTAAGACATTGAGCTGTCTGAGTGGAAAAGTACAGTACTGTGTTAAAGTCCAACTGCTGAGAAGCCTCAGTGGAAATATACTATGTGAATACTGTGTGCAACAAAAACGCGGGGTCAACCAGATTAAGAACAGAGGCATCCTGTTATGTCCAAACTGATAAGCCACAAGGTTGCAGAACTCATTATTCTCACACTAAATCACCCACCAAGCAGGCGCAACAGTTCACAAGGGCAGTCTTGTGAGTGAAACCAGATAAGGAAGTGAGTGAAAGCAAATAAGGAAGTAACAAAAGCGCGCCGAAGGCTAACCTAAGAGTTGCTAGGGTAGCAACGGCAGATTACACCACAAGAAAGCAGCGAAGGTGGGGGCTCCGCTAGGAACAGTATATAAGCAGGATGTATTCAGTACTCGAGGCTCTCTCTTCAACTGGGATCTTACACTGACGAGCTTGTCACGGTGAGAACTCAAGAAGGAGTCCAAGGCGCTTTGTGGTATAGTATCAGATTGATGTATCTTTGTTGAACTGTGTAATATAGTGCTTATTTGAAGAAACAATCCATTGGAGTGCAAAGTCTAGTTTTGTACAGCTAACAGAGAATAGTGTCTAGGACACAATTCCTTTTCCCTCAGAACTAAGAAACGGTCATCGGCAGATCCGGACAGCGACCCCGCTCTAGCCATATCCAAACGATCTGCGCGGAGGACGGACCTGGTCCGGTAGACTCCAACAGCTCCAACACAGTTTGAAACCAGAGGGTGACCTTCACCAATTTTAGAAATGAAACCTGACATTTCATGGGATTTTCACGTCTTTATCGGCAGAAAAATAGAGTCGCTTTTTATGTAGTCTACAGAAATATGGATATAATTGGTGTACAATTAACGTTTACAGCAGGATAAATTACAAAAATGTACAGCATACTACATACAATTCAAAATACGGTTTCTCCGATTTCTAAAATAAAAATGCTGGCGTAGCCGATAAATGATTTGTGTTGCTTTCAATGCAAAATCACTACACGTCAACGAAATGTCGGCGTATTCTTTAAAAAAAAAACCTTCAGTTTTAATAAAACCGAGTAGTCTTTAAAGTATGCAGTGATATCCTTTACAAGGAAAACATTGTGCATTGGAAAATATAAAGTAGAAAATGATTGAAACAACATAAAAAGATAAGCCAAAAAAAAGACTGAAATCAGCATAAAAAGCTAAGCAATTGGCATGGAAAGAGATTTAATTGCCACAATTTTATATTGAGGGGAAACTCATTGAAAATAATGTTGTCGTGAGAATATTTATCTGTGAATCCTATCCCTACATTACCACCCGCGAAACTTGCTTAAGCATGCTATAATAGCCCGGTCTGTATATAGTCATTTGACGTTAGCTGCAGGACGGTCCTGTATATAGCCATTTCAGATATCTTATCCACAGGACCGTCCTGTATATAGCCATTTCAGAGAGCTGTTTACAGGACGGTCCTGGATATAGCCATTTCGGAGCTTGTATACAGGACGGTCCTGTATATAGCCATTTCAGAGACCTTATATACAGGACCGTCCTGTATATAGCCATTTCAGAGACCTTATATACAGGACCGTCCTGTATATAGCCATTTCAGGGCTTCTGTGCAGGACCGTCCTGTATATAGCCATTTCAGAGACCTTATATACAGGACCGTCCTGTATATAGCCATTTCAGGGCTTCTGTGCAGGACCGTCCTGTATATAGCCATTTCAGAGAGCTGTGTACAGGACGGTCCTGTATATAGCCATTTGGCGTTGTGTACAGGACCGTCCTGTATATAGCCTCGGCCAAAACATATAATGTTCACTCCGAGTGGGAGGATGATTATTTTTGTATCTATTCCAATTCAAAGTCCATCTGTCTCATCTGCAATGCGAGCGTGGCTTTATCGATGAAGGGTAATTTAGGAGCGGCATTTCAAAACAGTGCACAAACGCTACGAGACGGAATTCCCTCCTAATGCCCTACGCTCCAAAGGGGGAGGGGCCTGAAAGGACAGCTAAATGCACAGCAGTCCCTTTTCACCAGGCCCAACAACAAGAGCAAGGCTGCTACCAGAGCATCTTATCGTGTCAGTCACGTTCTTGAGAAACACATGAAGTCTTTCAAAGATGGCGAAGTTGTGAAAGAAGCATTCCTGGAGGCTGCTGACGCGCTTTTGGGGGACAGTAAAAATAACAGAAACAAAAACTCAAGTTAGATACCGTTATTAATCAGCTGTAAGTTTTAGTTTGTTTGAACTTATTCATTATAATTATTGTACAAAATGGTATAAGAATGCAAACATTAAGATCTGTTCTGTTTAAATTGATTATAGTCTATTATCAATTCAGGTTAAGAAACTAGTGTTGCTATTTTAAAAAGGCATTTCTTTTTATACTCTACTAAAATGCTACAAAAAAGGGTTTGATTCTATTAATTTTGTCTTATTTATTGCACTGTTGCAGCAGATTCCTGTGTAGCTTCAGATCTGAGTTGTCTTATTAGCAATGTTGGGACTAACGCGTTACAAGTAACGCGTTACTGTAACGCCGTTATTTTTGGCAGTAACTAGTACTCTAACGCATTACTTTTTAAATTCAGTAACTCAGTTACCGTTACTACATGGTGCGTTACTCCGTTACTGCGTTAGTTTTTTTATATAGTCAACAGCCAGGCGAACAGAGATGAGAACTGTACTTAAGTACAGTACTTGAGTAAATGTACTTTGATACTTCCTGTGTCACATGCGGAGACGGGCTGTGGGCGTGTTTGTGTTGTTTACTAACAAGACTATCATGGCGGCGGCGGAGCTCAAGTCTAGTTTCTCCACCTGGAGATATTCTCACTATTTCACTTTTGTCGAGCACAAAGAAAAGAACGTTTTAGTTAAATGTAAGTTGTGTCTTGGCGGGTCAAAGATCCTATCTACTTCCCAAACCAGTAATTCAAATCTCTTAAAACATCTGCAAAAACAACATGCTGGGACGAAGCTAGTAGCTAAGACCACAGAGACTCAGCCGACGCCACTCCACCTCCACCTAAGCAACAGCGGCTGGATTTTAACCAAAGGACTGCTAGCCAGGGAAAAGTCGATAAAGCCATTGCACGGTATGTTGTAGAACACATGCAGGCTATTGCTACAGTGGAGTCACCCACTTTCAGGGAGCTAGTTAGCATGATACCATGCCCGGGCGGCACACGGCATATGGGACGGAAAACTTTTTCCAACTACCTGGAGAAAAAATATACAAAAATGGAAAGCCAGCTAATATCGATGCAATCCAGATTGCATATAATGCATGTCAAGTTGATCAACAGATTGTATTATTCTCCAATGCAATAACAGTACTGAAATGAAGGCTATAAGGGCATTAATGGGAGCCCTTTTGTCAAGTAACGAAAACGTTACTTTTCACAGTAACGCATTATTTTTGGGTGTAAGTAACTAGTAAAGTAACTGAGTTACTTTTGACATGAAGTAACTAGTAATGGTAACTAGTTACTGGTTTTCAGTAACTAGCACAACACTGCTTATTAGTAAGCCTAATTTATACTTTTGTAGCAACACTATTTTTATATAATGGCAAATAAAGGGTTCAGAGTCTTTTCTTTTGTTCCTGTGTCATATGTGGCAGCACTGTTCAATGTTTCTTGAAAACATTACCCACTGTAGTATGTGACGTGTGAATAAACTCCAACTCTGTATCAACAACACTGTTGTGTAACTTCAGTTAAATACTTGTATGTGTGTAGATTAGAAAGAGGTAAGATAAAGCATCTGCAGTATTTTATGAAGTATTCATCGTACAAAGGTCAGTTTTATACAAGTAGAAGTGTGTATTTACCTGGTAGTAGGCTGTCAGTAATGGCTACGCCTCTCTATTTGGACTGGTAGATCTCGGCAGACTGGCAACTTTAAAAGTAGCTCTCGGTTCAAAAAAGGCTGGGCACCCCTGGATTAGTGGTTAGCTAAACGTCCCATGGGTTAGCTTGGCAGATTAACAGTTAGCCTCATAGTTTAAGGGTTAGTTTAGTGGTTTAAGCTTAATAGTTCAAGGGTTAGCTTAGTGGTTTAAGCTTAAGCTTAATAGTTTAAGGGTTAGCTTAGTGGTTTAAGTTTAAGCTTAATAGTGTAAGTGTTAGCTTAGTGGTTTAAGTTTAAGCTTAATAGTTTAAGGGTTAGCTTAGTGGTTTAAGTTTAAGCTTAATAGTTTAAGGGTTAGCTTAGTGGTTTAAGCTTAATAGTTTAAGGGTTAGCTTAGTGGTTTAAGTTTAAGCTTAATAGTGTAAGTGTTAGCTTAGTGGTTTAAGTTTAAGGGTTAGCTTAGTGGTTTAAGTTTAAGCTTAATAGTTTAAGGGTTAGCTTAGTGGTTTAAGTTTAAGCTTAATAGTTTAAGGGTTAGCTTAGTGGTTTAAGTTTAAGCTTCATAGTTTAAGGGTTAGCTTAGTGGTTTAAGTTTAAGCTTAATAGTTTAAGGGTTAGCTTAGTGGTTTAAGGGTAAGCTTTACGGTGTAAGGGTTAGTTTAGCAATTTAAGGATTAGCTTAGCGGTTTAGGGTTAGCATAGCGTTTTTAAGGCCCAATCCCAAACCACTCCCTCGACCCTACCCCTCCGTGACGCAGTGAACTCCGTCTGTAGCCACACTCGCAGCTCAACGAGGCTCCTCCTGTCAGATGGAGGAGCAAGCTTTGGGACGGCCTCCCCTCTCTCCGGCAGAAACAGGAAATGCCTTAACTGTAACAACGGTTTCAAATCAGCATCTCTTTGACAAAAAATGTAAATTAATAACTCAAATAAAACTCCAAACATCTTTCATTGTGCTCTTATAGTTTTAAACCTGATGTTTATAAGCTTCTTAGTTTTTGGAACAGCCGATGCAGACTCGCTGTTTGAGGGCTTGATAGCCCACTCCCCCTCCACACCGCTCCACACTCGTTGGTTTGGAACAGCCCTTAATATGGCGGACCCTCCGCGTGAACACGCAAACGGAGGGGTAGGGTGTAGGGGGCGGTTTGGGAATGGGCCATAGTTAGCATAGCTAATATCTGCAGGTCTCCCTTGAAAAAGAGATCTATGATCTCAATGGGACCAATCTGGTTAAATAAAGGTTTGAAAATGAAAATGAAATAGCAGTTTGTGCCACATTCCCGCAGTCACTGTGTTCAAGAAAACATAGCGTGTCTGGTTCCACTTAAATGTGTCAACAGACCTCCGTCATGAAGCTGAATAAGAACCGATTGAGGTATGAGATAAACTGTTCTACAATGACAAACCAAGCTAGAAGAAGCTATTTTCACATTACCAAATCTGACCCCCATTAAAAAACTGCCCCTTGCCACAGTGACTTTTGTTGCAGTTATACAGAAATCTGTATCTACATTTTAGTTTAGCCCTTTACAAACGATACAAACAGGATGCATTACATCCTTTTCTCCGTGAAAACGCACATACACTTCAATACAGGAGCAATTCGGGGTTACGTCTCTTGCCCTGTGACACTTAGACATGCTGACTGCAGGGGCTTTGGATTGAACCACTGGCCCTCCGAATTGCCCATGTTTCTCCTGAGCCACCAGCAATATGTTTCTGCCCTGCTGTGTTTTCCAATAACTCCGTCACTGCATGTTAAATGTGTTGGTCGGTATTTTGCCAACATATGTGTGTTTGCGGCCACGCACAGCCTATATTTGCGTCCCCGTGGATCTGTGGTCAAGATGTTCTGTCAGCTGGGTGAATTATAGTCAATTGGTTACATAATCATCCCACACATTCATCGTAGATGCTGTTCCCCATGGCAACTCTGTTAAATAAATCAGTCCCTCTCTGGTTTGTGGCGCCCGCTGATTCCCAAGTCGCCTTTTAATCTTCCCTTCAATTCGTCTTTTGTTCTCCTGTCCCTGGTCATTTTCACTGTCTTCTGCCTTCTTTATTACCTCTCTCTTTGTCCTTCCTTGTCCACTTTCTGTGAGCTGCCCACCTCTGGGTGTCCTGTGTCTTCCTCTATCTGTCTAGACATCCTCCCACCTCTTGAGTACTGTCTCCCTCCCTCTCCCTTCCACCCTGTTTGCTTTTTCTTTCTGTCTTTTACATCACTTTTCTCTGTCCTTCTTTGTCCCTTTCTCTAGTCTCCAGACAGTAAATTAGGCAGATACTGACACCCATTGACCTGCACTCAAATTCTACCTACATTCTAAACTGCCAATG